GGTGGAAAGTTTGGACGAACGCACCGAAGATCACCAGCTTTCCCTACTGCATCTCATTTGCGCTGGTCATTCTGAGCAGGTATAGAAGCTTTCTGAATTTCAGCATTTTTTATAGTTTTATGAGAAATGAGATTCACCTTCGTAAAAAATACGAGCATGTTAATTAACAGTTTTTAGTTTTTTCAGCAGGCAGAAAAGATTTTGCAACTATTTGATGCATGTGGCGATGACGAAGCAAAGAAGGAAATGTTTTTGAAGCATCAGTCCAAGAACGGATTTTCCGCTCTTCATTTCGCCGTTTACAAGGTGTTGTTGCAAAACTAACACTAATCCGCCGTTAAGATCTATAGGTTTTTCATAACAAATTTTTTATAATTTTTGTATAATCTTTTTATAATTTATTAGGACGTTCTAGTCCGATTACTCCCATTATTCGGAAATCAGTGCGCGAATCCGATGTATGAGAAGCCATTCCTTCTCACATGTGCTATGAGCAGTGGTCAGCTAATATTTCTCCTAGCGTTTGCAATCCTGCATCGCTGTATATGAAAGAGTTTTGCAATTTTGCAAAATTATTGTTCCCAAGTTTTAGGGCGAGACGGAAGCGGTGGAAGAGCTGATTGCAGCTGGAGCGAACGTTGATTTTGGTGGTCGCAATAAACTACCACCGTTACATCTGGCGGTAATGTGTGGGAATGATGAGCTTGTTGATAGGCTAATCGAGCACGGCGCGTCGCTGAATGCTGTTGATTTTGTACATTTCACACCGCTTCACTCGGCTACTTATTTCGCTCATGAAAAGGTACGGATGTTAAATTTAAAATTACGAACTGCCTGAAGGTGTAGCAGCTAGATCTTAAACGAACTGCTTTGTTGTTTTGAGTATCAGTGATTTCATCATTTCGCCGCAGATTTTCCAGGTGTCTCCAATTTGAATCCTTCTCTTTAACGTAATAGGCATTCAAATGGATTTTTTTTTACTGTATTTGCTCGCCTTCAGATTATAGAGGATTACTTTTGTACTCGCTCTGTTCATTCTGTGAATCATAAGTTCATATAATTTGTATAATTCCCGGGCGCTTGGGTTCCTTTAAGCCTCAAGCACAGCCACATCTCAAGGATTTCATGGGCCTTTTTATCCGTTAATTAAACAGTGGAATTAAAGTAGCTTTTTTGCTCCTTATTGTGAGCCTCTCAACCAAGTGAACAAAACCCCTTTCGTATGAGCGTGGCATTGTCTTTGAAGATAGTGCGTTTACTTATGAAACGTGGAGCAGATCCGAACTCGTGTGGTGGAGTAAAAGATCGGCCACTACATTTGGCTAGCAGCAAGGGACATATCAGTATTGTTTCCGCTCTTCTGGAAGCCGATGCTGATCGTTCGTTTACATTGCTTTTTTCATAATTTATTAAAAACTTGAAGGGCCTGACGTGACGTGCAAGAATGTTCCGGTAAAACTACTGAAATGGATTTTCCGCATCGATTGCTGCGGTGACCTCTTTATTCTTGGTTTTAAAGAAAATCAAGCCAGAAGTCAAAAAAACAGAATCTTTATTAGTACTGTCGATCTTTTTAGTCTTTGGTATCACAGGAGCTCGGAGGATTTTTGACTTTTTCGCACTGCAGCTAACTCAAAATAGCCAAGCCATGCTGTCCTCTTCATCCTAAGCTAAATTCCCCTCTTCTCCCTTCCCCATCTTCATATTCTTTACGAATCATCCTCTTTTCGAGTTTTAGTTTCATCACAGTTCATAAATAACTGGAATACTTTGGCGCAACTACAGCAGTACAGACAGGGCAGAAAAACCAGAAAATAGAAAAGACTGTCCAAATTATTACTTTTGAAAAAATCGGTTGAGCTAGTGAACCAATCAATTGTACCGATATGAGTGTATAAAAATCGCTTTTGAAATTTTGCCAGGGATCCTAGTTTACTAAGGTATTTCGATACAAAATCTGGACTTATGTTTTTCATTTGGGCACTTTTAATAAACACTGTTTCATTTTTTTCGCATTTCTTCTCTCCATCAATGCAACTGGCAATTCTTTCATTCCTCCCAGTTTAAGCTTCCCACATTCACGTGATTTCACATAACCGTTCAATGATCCATTGCTAAATTATGGTGATTTGTATCTCTCAAAGTTCCATTTTCTTAAAAATTTTGTTGCAGCAACACTAGCAGATGATGAAGGCAACACATCGTTGCATTTTGCTGCTAAAACGGGTCACGTTGGTATCATCGACTTGTTGCTCCTCAAAATAGGGGCCGGGCATCAGGAGGTCATTCTTAACGCAATTTGTATGCTGAAGGCCATCGGAGTGGTCAAATTTTCAAGTTTATTAAAATTTTAACAAAATTTGAAAATCTGTATTTTCAGCTAGCACTGAAAGCCAATGTCTACGGCGATACACCTCTCCACACAGCTTGCTATGCTGGTCGCCTGGATGCAGTGAAACGACTGCTGACTGTTGCTGGATCAAACACACTAAACGTGGTACCTTTCTTTATAATAGCTGAAGAAAGAATGGACACATAAAACTCAAAAATATTCTACTAACACTGCTACCTATAAGCACTAGCAGTAGCTGTAGTTATGGGCGGTTTCACCCTGCTCTTTATTCTCTTATTCGGTTAGATACTTTGTCATGAATGCAGACTTCGAGACAAGATGATGGTGTGCGGCTCACCAACGGCATCTCGAAGCAGCTTAAGCTTTACTCAGTATTATCCTCTTTGAAAGACCATTGAGCTAATAATCCTTTCAGCAGACAGAACCAACCGTTTCGAAACTTCGCCAGCAGCATAGTAAAAGAATCACAGTAGAAATTATATCTGATCAGAGTGTTTAATTATGAGTGGACCTATACTTTTGTTGCTTGCACAGGAAAATGTCTTCTCGGAAACACCGTTGCATGCTGCTTGTACAAGCGGGAGAAACCTCGAATTGGTAGCATTTTTACTGAAACAACCCGGTGTGGATGCTAATTTTCAAGGCCAGGATGGCCACACTGGTATGTAATAATTACCTTTCACGGTCGATACAGTAAATAAAGATATATGTCAAGGAGTTGTTGTGAGCAAGCATTTTTTTCTTCACAAAGCTGTCCAAATTCTTTTTTTGATTCGGAAAATATCGAGAGCCTACAGAAATTATGTCAGAATTCAAAAGTGCGGATGTGAAAATCCGAATAGCTGACTTTAGATAAA